TCAAATTTAACCATTTGTTTGGCTCAGAAATAATGTGCACAACAACAGGTTCATATATAATTATTTCTAGAGTATGTTTACATTGATGAAACCCTCCTTGCACATCATGACCCATCGATATCCCGGTGTTACTATGGTTTCTATTTGTTTCATGAAAAGAAACAAATCGCAATCTTTCGTTTCACAAACTTTCGAGTCGGATATTACCAAGTGAAACCAGTTACCTCGTAAGTCATCCAATACTTTTAAACTGAAAACCAGGAGCGACTAAGCAATCTGAAATTAATGTCCAATTTCCTCTTTAAATGATATTGGCCTCGACTTCCCCCGTGGCCGCTGGGGTCGAAGGAACCGTGGCCGAGGTCGGAGTGGCGAGCGTCGAGGAGGAGGCGAGGGTCAGGCGAGGTGAAAGGTCAAAGGACGTGACCCAGTCATCCCACTTCTCCTGCCACATGTCCCTCAGCTGAGACGTCGCGTTGGCGTCCAGGCTGCTGTATCTGGGGGAGGGGAGGGGTGAGGAATTATTGATTTACCCGTATGAATGGATAATTGATAGAACATGTGCTAACTAATGTACAGGCGTATATTTAGCGGAGGCGAAAGCGATCTCATATTCATGCGTGAAATTTTAGATAGACATTGATCTATAATTATATATTCTTTGCTTAATTAATATACCGATAATAAAGGATGAAATAACCAGACAGTTCTTGTAGTCGCTTACTTGATAGAGTTAGAGCCAACTGCTTGAGAAACCTGAGATCAGCCTTGGCGCCTCCGAGTGCCATGAAGGCCTCGTAGAAGTCATGGGAGAGCCCTGTAGCTCCCCAGGCAGACAGGCCGTCGCATGACACCACTACAGGGAACCCTTCTGCCATCAGGCCGCGGCGGGTGGTTCCGCAGGTCGTCCACCAGTTTCAGCACCTGCAGCGTCGAGGTTCATGTTAATGGTGCGTGGAAAACATTTTTCTTACGTAACTTTTACATGTCACAACTACAAAAAAGTGGTTTGATAAGTAATTTTACATGTCTCAGCTACACCTACCCACTTGGTTTGATAGGTAATTTTACATCAGTCTCAACTCACCCACTCACCTGGTTTGATATTGGACACACTTCGATGGGTACGTCTTCTCCCTGGCGAGCGCCTTGGCCCGCGGTGCTTGGTGATGGCGTAGCCGTGGCCGATCCTGGACGCGTTGAGCAGGAGGGCGTCGATCAGGTTCTCGTCAGTCGACATGCCCATCCAGCTGAAGGTACAGGGGGAAAGGTGCGTAAAGATAGGGAGTTATTTCTGCTTGAGATAAAATAGGTTGTTTATTGTGTTGATTTCTTATGGTCTAGAACTACGATTTTCCTCCTTTTTAGCTATGTGATGTAAATTGTATATCACATAGCTTATGCGATGTAAATTGTATAATACACAGCTTATTCATTTTTTCTGTTATACAGTACATTTTACACGAATCTTGAAGTCCCTTCGTTTGTTACTGTATACCACAAAAGAAACAGCGCTACCTCATAAACTCGATTCTTCCACACCTGTTTCTCCCGCGTGATATAGAACACAGGGATGTGACGTGTTGCCGCTCGACAGGGACAGAAGAGGCTCCAAGAAGTTGTTCAGTAGGATAGCCGAGGTCCTGCCACCTGCCTACGAGGTCGAAACCGGCTACGAAGTCAGGATATTCTGCTTAAGTGTTTACGACTCACAGCTGTTTCATCGTCCACGTACCCCCATACTGTGTCTTCGCTCTGTCTGCGAGTGATTTTTAGAAAGGGAAAATGGTTTATGAAGTGTAGCATTATGAAGATGCTTGAATGAATGTTCGTCAATAAATGTGCTGCTATGAAGCTTGGGAATTGTTGGCCTTTCGTCGGTACTTGTTAATGAAAAAATACTAATTCATTGTTTTCAATTAGCTAATTGTCATGAATCTATACAACTCAAGAGCCACGCTTACCTCCTATTTGGCGCATAGATATAGCGTGCGCCAAGACCTATTCGGATTGTCGGCCACAAAGCGCTGGGTTGTGTCGCGGTAAATGCCCACAGATTGAATCGGAGACAATTCCGTTCCGTTCAACTCATAGATTGATTTTGTAATGGATTTGAGCAAAAAATCAAAATTAATAACTCATTTCCCAACACTGAGCATGGGTTTATTTTAAAGGTAGGGGCATTCATTCATGTAAATTTTCGAATTTGTTTTTTGAAGTTACAAGTTTTCTCACCCACCATGAAAAACAAACTAAACCAAAAAGAAAATTAACCTACACTATACACTTCCGTCAACATTCACAACAACCAACACCATATAACAGCACAATCCAAGTCCATGGCGCCCATCAGAAATAACCAAACTTAAAAAAGACTTACCGGAGGCAAAACTCCTGAACTCAAGGTAGAGGACGCTGTCTTTGGCGAACTCCTCCAGAGCGCGGTACAGGTAGCTTCCCAAGCCGGCCGGTACATGACCATGCCCGAGATGCCGATGAGGCCGCGCTCGAAGGCCGTCCACACCGTGTGATGTCCGGGTAGAGCTCTGGGGAGGATTCGGCAAGGTCACTAGCCTGTGAGTATGACTGAGGGCTAATGGTATGCAGTTGTTTGATTAATGTCTTCATTAATAACCATTACACACACACACACACACACACACACACACACACACACACACACACACACACACACACACACACCACATATATATATATATATATATATATATATATATATATATATTATATATTAATAGAAGAGAGAGAAGAGGAGAGAGAGAGAGAGAGAGATAGATAGATAGATAATAGATAGATTCACCCAGACAACCACAAACACACACACACATATACATACATATTCAGTATATATATACATACGTATGTATTAATATATATTATATATATATATATATATATATTTATATATATATATATTATATATGCATATACACACGAGGGGCGGTCATTAAAGATTTCCCCTGACCCACTTCGTTTATCCTAGACGCTGAAATTTCACATGCCTAAATATACATATCTCTATAGGTCATGTCTTGATTTCTAGCCCTTAACTCATAACACTGTTTCTATTACAGCGGGGATGGTGCGGCAATGATTATCAAGCAGTGATCAAGTCTTTATACTTGACTTGAATGCCGCACACCAAAGCGACTCTCTATGAAACGGAAACAACTTATACAGGATACTCCATTATTTGACGTTAAAAATTGTATCGCCAGTTGGTCGGAGATCTATGGAAACGGCTCCTATCCCAGTGAGGCCCCAGTATGCCATTGATGAGGAACCATACAGTCTATTCGTCTGCTAGCCT